TTGGCATCTTCTTATGGTCTTCTACAACATCGACTACCACCCAGTAACTTGACTGGTCAGCACTAAACGCTTGCTGTAAACTAGGCATGGCAGTCACCTGCCCTGTAGAGCAGTTGGGTGGGTTTACACAGGAGGAGGCAACTCTAGGAACTCCAGGAGTCACCTTTCACCCACCAAAAACCTCTGAGCGCTGTAGCATCTGTCAGAGTCTCCTTAAGAATGATGAGAATGAATTACCAGGACCGACAGGCAAGACTGAATCGCCTTGAACCCCAGCATCTTTATTGGTGAGATCACCCAGGCCGCCTGCAGGTACTTAGGACAGCATGCTATCAGGTAGTGGTCTCCACCGCCAGCTACAAGCTTTTAGAACATACACAGAGTGTTTTATAGCTGTTGAGCCACATAGGCCCAGAAATTGGGCAGTTGAGGAGGAAATAAGGGGGACACAGTCAGAAGAAGGTGAGAGGTCTGCAGAGGGGGCTTAATCCAATGGCATTTGATTGCCGGATATCAGCAAAAATTATCCAGGGTTTGGCAACACTGCCCTATGAGGAGAGACTGGGAGAACTGGGCATGTTCAGCCTTGAGAAGACTGAGGGGGACATGATATCCCTCTAGAAGTACCTCCAAGGCTGTCACAAAGAGGAAGGTCAAGATCTCTTCTTGCTGATGCCAGAATGTAGGACACGGAATAATCAATTCAGGTTGCGGCATCCCAGATTCAGGCTGGACATCAGGAAAAGCTTCCTCACTGTCACAGCAACACGACAGTGGAACCAGCTGCCTAGAGTGGCGGTGGGCTCGCCCACACTAAAAAAGAAACTGGACAGCCATCTGAGTGGGATGGTGTAACGTGGTGTCCTGCAACAGCAGGGGGTTGGACTTGATGGCCTTCATGGCCCCAGGTGATGGCACCAGGCAAACCTCTCTGGGGAGTGAATTCCACAATTGGGGCACCACCACAGAGAAGACCCTTCTCTGGGTAGTCACCCTCCTAATCTCCTTCAGGGAGGGCACCTGGAGAAGGGCATCTGCCCCAGATCTTAAGGGGCAGGCAGGCACATATGGAAGGAGATGTTCCTTCAGGTAACCAGACAAGAAGACCATTCATGAATGGCCAGCACTCAACCCTGGAAACAGCTGCTTCCCTCTTCAGTTAGAGTTCAAGGGGTGGGCAGATGGAATGAGATATCCTAGTACTGACTTCTCCAACTCGATGGCCACTGAATGCTTTGAATGACCATACCCAGCCTTTCTGACCTTTGGCCATGCTGGCTGGAGCTGACAGAAGTAGAAATAAAGCAATCTGGATTGTCCCAGGCTAGGAAAAGCTGTGGTATGCCTGGACCATACGCCAGTGCTTTCCATTTGGCCCAGTTGATTGATCATGGGTTTCTAGCAGAGGGAACAAGGAGATATGGCAAGCCTGAAGTCTGCCCACCCTGCCATAGTAGGACTGCATCCTGTAGGATCAACCCTATCCAGCAAAACCCAAGCCTTTCTTTGGACAGGTTTGTACTGCTCCAGACTGTAGACTCCCTTTCCTTCTGTGCTTGAATCTCTTCTCTGGAGACTCCTTGAGTAGAAGCTTCTTGCCTTTTGCAGTCAACCCTTGCTAGAAATACACTGGCTGGTCATGCAGATCTGATTAACAGCTGATGAAGTCAAGGAAAAGTTGGTATATGGCTCAGCCCCCTGGATTAAACGGTTCTGCATCCAGCTGCTTCTTATTCATATTGATTGCTGCAGTTGCCAGAGGTGCGCTTGGCAAAGAACTGCAGCATTATGAAAATGGATGGCCATGAAGAGAAGCTTTCAATAAAGCACTCATGAAGCAATGAATATCCCCCCTCCCCAGGTTGTGATGATCAAGAAACCTTTTTGCAGCTTTGCAGTGAGCCACTGCTGGAATGTTTAAGTAGGAAAAGGAGATGGGCTTTCAGAAAATAAATCAGAATTACTATGGGACCATTAGTGTGACCTTCATTCTGCCACCACACTGTGGTCTGGAGCTTCAGAGAAGGCAGGGAACATACTTGTGTGAACTGATTTTCCATCCGTAGAGAATGCACAAAGGTTCAGGTCACTGCAGAAGCTTTTTGAACACAGTCTATAATTTTAGAGCTGCTATGAAAATACACATGTGCCTCTCGTTCAGTTTCAGGTTCAGCAAGCTCAGCCATTTCTCTTGTCCCAGGTAAATATATCAGTGGCTGACTGGGCTTATTCCAGATCAACCCCGAATGTTCCCCCAGCAATGTCCATTCATTTAAAATAGTGCCTGTTCCAGTGATCAAGCTGCTGACTTGAGTTATCATGATGGGGCAGTGAGTATTCATTTGTAGAGACATTCTTAGTCTTCTTTTAAAGTCCTTTCTGCATCCACCTGTGTGACTGCAGCTTTTTTCCTTTATTTGAAGTATTTTTATACTGCTGCTCAGCCAGAAATACTGCCAGAACCGAAGGCTGCTGCAGGCTTAAAAAACTACATAGACAAAAGAGAAAAGAAAAAAGGAATGGGGAGGGAAGAGGGGGAAACATAATTTCCAGCCAGCCTGATGGAATGATCATGCTTGTCCTTTCCGGTCCCTCTGCACAGGCTTCTGGAATGGCTGCTGACCTCCCATTCCTCTCAATGTCTCGGTCATGTGTGAGCATCAAGCTCTCCTTTGCCTCCCACCCAGTGGGCAGAGAGACATAAAGAAGAGGGAGTAGTATCTTATTGCCTGGTGTGCTGCTCTCCCAATTCCCTCGCTGCTGGTTTCCCTGTGATGACCACAGCAGCAAGTCTGGGGACTGGTGGATGGTGGATTGGATGGATAGAAGGCATTTATGGAGGTTCTCCTTAGTCTTGGATTCAAATTTGAGCTGGACAGATGAGCAATGTCTTTTTAATCTTATTTTTATAGTAAAAGCAGGGATAGCAATCTAGAGAAATGGGGAGCATGAGAGGTTAAGGTCCAGATGGGGTCCTGTACCTATTCTGTGGGCAAAATGAAATGTAGGAGTGAGATACACCTTCAAAGTTTCAAAATTCAAGGCAGCCTTTGGTTCTGTCTCCTTTTATTTTTTAGGCAGAATACAATATGTTCTTGGAAAGTCATGCAATGCGTGCCCTTAACAAGAGATATCAAAAATACATTTGTTTTTAGGAATGCAAAGGCAATTTCAAGATACATGAATGGCATATGGTACATCACAAAGAGATTTTGATCATGTGTTCCAGTCTACTTAAGCTTGCATCTGTGTATTATTCAAGCAGTGAGGGATGGACTCATTGTATAGCATAAAACATGGTTGCGTATGCTGAGATTTGGTAATAAGGACAACACCATCAGATGCCCTCCTGACATTTTAGGCTATGGGATTTTATACAGGAAGCATTTTTATGTGTCCATCGGTCCCTACGCATGGATCTTTATGGGTCCTTTAGACGCTGGTGACCCTCCAGCTTCACTCCTATGTCAAAACAGCGTTTTTAGTACATTAAAAAAATAGGGGGAAGGTGGCATTTCATCCTGAAAGTGGAGGAAAGCACAATTTCCTCTTGGCATATTTGCACTATTTTGCTGTACCCAGTGCCACCTAGATATTTTTTACTAGAAATCCAGGAAGCACTCTTAGTGCAGTGCCCTGATTTCAGATCGAGAAGCAGATACAAGCTTGCTACTGGCATCATGCAGAAAAGTTTCATTATTACCGGTTTACATTTGTGCCTCACCTTTCTTCCTCTCACAGGGAACCCAAGGCAGCTTACAAGGCTCTCCTTCTCTCCATTTCAACCTCACAACAACAACAACACTGGGAGGTAGGTTAGGCTGAGAGGGAATGAGTGGCCCAAAGTCACCCCAGAAACTCCATGAGTGAGTGAGGACCCCCTGAGTCCCAGCCCAGTACTCTTAATATCTGCACCACACTGGCTCTACAAGTCTCATAAGCTTTGGCCAGCATGGACTATGCTCAGGGCTTATGGGAGTGGAAAGGGATATCTGAAGGGCACTGGGTTGCCTAGCCAAGTTCCAACTTCCCTTATGATTAGTGATGTGAGCACTTCCAAACAAGACCATATTAACCTGGCATCTGGACCCATGCCCTGTTTTCTGCACTCAGAGCCACTAATGCAGGTTAGAAATCCCTTTGCACTTCACTGGGGTTGTTGGCAGTGCTCACATCAGGCAAGGGAAGAGGGTATGTGGGGTGGGGGGTGGGTAAACTTTGAAGAAAACCAGCATTGGAAAGATGCTGCTGAGGGCAGGAGCAACTGGGAAAACTGGAAGCTGCCCCACTGCCTCTGCGCAGTTTGGAGTTCAAGCCACAGGACAAATTTATGGGTTGCAGTCTAGCAAAGGTATCCATATGCATGCAATGAATGTGAAGGAAGCCTGGCTGCAAGAGAAGGATGCAGTAGTGACATGGAGAAAACTCCAACTTTGGGGTGATTTTCTTCAGAGGGCTGATTGTGGGTCTAAAAGAATGGTGGAAGTGTGTTTATGACCAAGCAGGCTGCCTTAAATGGCCTGAATTTCATTTAGCCCCTGAGAACCACTGATGGGACAATTCATGTGGCTACTAGCTTTCTGATGACCTTGCAGAGTTTCAGATCAATGGTGTGTGTGCGGGGTGGGAAGGGGGAATAGTTGGGCTGTGGTACTTGAGAAAGGGAATCTACCCTTCTCCACATTTTCCTGATCAGTCCCCCAGCTCCTGATGGCAGCAAGATAGTTGTCAGTGTTGTAGCTGCCAGTTTTCACCACTGAGGTGCTTAGAAACATGGCATATGTTTGCACAGGGGTCATTTTCATTGGGGAAACCTTGCATGGAAAAGGATGGAATAGCACCAGATATACACTTCCCCGAGCATCCCTGTATACATTCATTTGGCCATGATCCATGATTCTTTAGATCCCCTCTCCATGAAGCTTTGGAAAAGACATTACAATATTGGATTGCCGAGCACCTGCATTGAGATTGACCTGGAATATGTGCACTGGTAGTTGTTATACGTGTGACTGGTAATGCTGATAATCTTCAGTCTCCATGAGCAAAGGTTGTGTTTCCTCTGAGATTTTTTTCTTCTTCCGACAGGCCAGAGTGATGATGAACCCAACCAGCACTGTTATGGCAGCACCGACCACAACAGACCCCACCAGCCATGGCCAGATCTGACGGGCTTGTTCCAAGTAAGGCACAAAAAAATTCTGGAAGGGGTTGGCTGCAAAGAAAAAGAGAGGAATAAGATGCCCATAAGTGACCAAATTCATAGTTATCCAGAGCATTATAAAGGGGCCAGCTGCCACAATGAACTTTCTCCAATGATGCCTGTATTCAGTGGAGCCTGGGGGCCTCATACTGTATCCACTGCAGGTGCTAATATGAACTTCAGCACCATGGATAGCTCCTTAACTTGCAGACTCAAGAGTCCATTGAGCCAAGCACTCTGTACACACAATGGCCAAACTGCTGCACACAGGAAATCCACCAGCAGGACCTGAAAGAACCAGCACCCTTCGGTTCATGTTCCCCAGTAGCTAGTGCATTGCCTCTGATGTTGGAGAAAGTCTACAGTCATCAGGATGATTAGCTTTTGATAGCCTTCTTCTCTACAAATTTGTCCAATTCCCCTGTAAAGCTGCCCTAATTGGTGGTCATCACTGCATTTTGTGGAGTTGAATTTCATAGTTTAAGTGTGCACTGTGTGAAGAAGTCCTTTTAGAATTCAAATGTTATTCTGGATTTCCTACCAATCAACTTCATGGGGCGCCCCATGAACCATTCTAGTGTTACGAGAAAGGGAGAAAAACATCTCCCTATTCCCTTCCCTCCCACATGCATTCTTTTGCACACTTCTATCATGTCTCCCCTTATTCAGCTCTGTTCTATGCTAAATAATCCCTACAGCTGTAAATTTTCCCACAGAGGGCTTGCTCCGAGCCCTTGATCCTTTTAGTTGACCTTTTCTACACTTTTTCCAGCTCTACAGTGTCCTCTTGTAGGTGCAGTGAACATAACAGAACATGGTATCTAAGTGTGATCACACTATAGATTTTTATAGGAACAGATGGATGGATGGATGGATAGATGGGTTTTCTCAATAATTCCATTATTTTATGTTCCATTATTTTCCTAATTATGACCCACATGAACTTGCCTTTTCAAATTAGCTGTATATATTTTAATCCAGCTAATCCAAATTAACTGTATATATATTTTGTCCACTACTACCCCAGGATGTCTTTCTTGGTCAGTCTCCACTAGCAAAATCCCATCAGTTTATACCTGAAATTGGGAGTTTTTGCTCAACTGTGCATCACTTTAGACTTGCTTATGCTAAATTGTATTTCCCTTTTTGATGGCCATTTTCCTAGTTTGAAGAGACCCTTTTGGCTTTATCTAGCACTATCTAGATTGCACACGATAAAATGATAACACTAACCCACAGTTTCCTTCTTGCCAGGAATCCTGGACACTTTACATGGATCTTCACAACCCTGTGAAGTAGGTTAGGTTAGTGACTTGCCCCATATCATGGCCAAGTGGGAACTAGAACCCAGATCTCCTTAGCCAGTCCAGCACTTTAAGCCACTATAACGCACTGGCTCACAGCAGCAAAATTGGTGACTTCATTGCTCACTCCCACTTTCAGATCAAGAACGGCGGTTGACTGGCTCCAGCACTCCCACGGGGGCAGGATTCTCCACCTGAGCGCTAGAGGGCAGGCTGCACGGCCCTTCCTCACCATCCCATCTGGTGCCTGCTCACTTCCCATTCAAAGAAATGCTCCAGTGCAACAGGCCCAGTCGGTGAGGGAGCAGCCGAACAGCCCTGCTCATCCAGCATCTGCCACCTGAGGTCATTTCCTCACTTTGCCTCATGTCAGGGCCAGCTCTTGCTGCCACTGTCTGAGGACCCACTCGCTGAGAGTCACACCATGTAATTTTCCAGTCATTTTGACTCAGTAGTCCTTGGCTGAACTTTCACTGGGGAATGGGTTTATCCTGACTGCAGATGGGCAAGGGGGTTGGCAGCAAAACAGAATGCAGACTGCCGCTCTCCCCTCCCCTCCCCTCCCCTCCCCTCTCTCTGTTTTGCATTTTCAGGATGGATTTGGGTCCATTTAAAGGATGAGGGAACACTCCCAGCCCCTTGCCACTGTCATTTGAATTTTTTAATTGCTCAGAATATCCTAGAATGATACTTCATAAAATGCATACTCTAATTTGCCACAGCTGTTCATCATTCTAGGCTGTGAAAATGCCACATAAAAGCAACAGAAAGGAGCACCAATAACCTTTGCATGCCACAGACTCTCAGAATCCACCTTATTCCCCCGCAAACAGCAGAGCTCTCCTTCCACAGCAACCACACCTTTTCAGCCTGCAAATGGGGCTGCAGTGAATTGGCTTAGGCCAAACGTTCCGGGGACAGTGTCTATATGAAAAGCAAATGAAAGATGCTAATATTGAGTTAGGTGGCTGATCCATCCAACCTTACAATGTGTGCTCTGACTTAAAGCGGTTTTCCAAGGTAGAAACCAATGCTAGCTTGAGATCTTTTGCACAGGGATGGAACATGAGGCTTTCTTTCTCGTACATGTAAAGTGTTGAGGCTGTAAAGCAGAAGTAGGCAGAATACAGGGAATAGGTTATGGCCCCCAAGGGGTCCCTGCCTCCACTGCTGCCGGAATCCCCAAAACGGTGCTGCAAATGACAAAGGACAGTTCTGCAAGGCACCGGGGCACATGAGGTTCCGCCCCATGGTTTCTCTGCAGAAGCACCCTTCTCTGCAGTTGCTTGCCAGGCAGGTGGCAGTGGGGGAAGCCTGATTTTGCCTGGAGATCAAGCACACCCTCCTTGTGTGTCTTGTTTCCGAGCAGAGCCCTGGGGATGCATCGGGGGCATGTCTTCGGGCTGGATGTGCCTGCTTGCAGCTGCAGCTTGGCATGGCAGGGGTGCAGTGCCCAGCCCGCCATGAGGAATGGATCTGAGCAGAAGCCATGCAGTCACCAGTGAATGAGCTCAGAAAGCCTTTTTCCCAAGCAGTCCCTGCCTTGGCCTGGCTTCTTTTCCCATATCTAACTTCCACTGAATGGCTACATCTGCAGTCTTGTCAGGTGTATTCCCAACAGATCTTCCCCAGTCTTGTCTTAGCTCTCAGGAAGATAGTTACCTGCTCCAATAGGCTTGAAAGGAAATCGTAATTACTTTTCAAAAAGATTGGCTGTTTGTGCTAATAATTAAGTCAATGCAGATAATGGTTGCAATAAGCCAAATCATTATTATTTTTCTGCACGAGGAGGACATTTCCCTCCTCCTGCCCTTCACATCTCTTTCCAATTACATATTTTCCCATGCAGCTTGAAGAGTAATTAAAAATGGCATCTCCAGCATGTAACCTAACATGGTAAAGCCCACTTTAAAATGTCAGGATTTTACCACCTCATTCTCCTAGATAGTTAGGCCAGACCTAAATTTGTAGACTAAATATCCCCCCTGAGACACACACACACAATCAATTTGTATTTCATGATGAATAGTACTGATAACAGAGTGGCTAAGGAATTTTCTATCTTTCCTTAACAAAAAATCTTGGAGTGGCATCAAATATTATTATTAGGATCATTTTATTCTTTATTACATTTCCATAGTTCATTCTATTTCTATATTCATTTCTGGACAATAAAATGCGATAAAATCAGGAAGAAATCACATAAAGGTTTTAAACCAGCTGAAACAGACAACTGCAAAGTGTGGCTTTGCAAAACCCCTGAGATGGGTAATCCCACTCAAGCCCCTGGGTGGCCATGTAAACCAACGACCTCCAAAAAGAGGGCTGACTTAACTTGATGACAGATCTGACATCCTTTCTGTACCAGGCAGGCTGCAGAGGAGAACCTGTTCCATAGAAGAGAGAGCTCTCTGCCTTGTTGCCACAAGCAAACAGCTCTCATCCAGATCCTGGGTCAGAATAGTTCTCACAGAGCTTCTTGGTAGGGTGGAGATGGCACCCCCCATTGGCCATAAATAGGACAGCCATCTTCCCCTACCCCAAGGAGTGTCCCTGCAAACAACGCATCCCGTCCAGGCACATGGCTTTAGTAATGTCAGCACAGCCAAAAGGAAGGGAGGCGAATCTGGGGCTAAGTGATATGGCGGAAGTTTGCCTGTCCCAATTGCAAGGGGAAGTGTTCACCCCAGCACCTGGAATGTGTGCAAAGTACTGTGCCCAGGACTAGCCAAATCGGTGTCCTTTGGCAGGGGCAAGCTCAGGACATAAATGAGGCAACTAAACAAGAGGGGAGGCTAAAGGCAACAAGCTTTCATATCCAGTGAGCCACATTAGAGGGATGAACTCCAGGAGGGCTGGAAAGCAAGGCAAGAATGGAAGGAAGTTCTGGAACCTCAACATGAGACTAAGGAGAGCCTGTGAGGTGCAGTGGTTACGAGTGCAGGACTGGAAGGCAGGCGATCCGGGTTCTAGTCGCCGCTCGGCTTTGGAGCTCAGTGGGTGACTCTGGGCCAGTCACACACACTCAGGCCAACCTCCCTCCCAGGTTGCGGTTGTGAGGATAAGGTGGAGAGGAGGAGGAAGATTGTGTAAGCCCCCTGGAGTTCTTTGGAAGAAATAAAGGTGGGATATAAATAGAATAAATAAATAAAGCTCTCTTCATAAAATCCTGACAGGGATTTGAGATGCTAGGAATTGCGTTCTGCCGAAGCCTAATGGATTCCAGCAGTTCCCCCCTCCCTCAATCCTGGAACTGTTTTGTGCATGTGTGTGCGCGCGCTGTGAAAGCAATTTGTGCAAATTGGATCTTTTTGAGGATCCAACAAGTATGTCTGCTTCTTGACTTGAAATCTTTCAATTTCATCCTCTCCTTTAGAGCTTTCCATTGTAGGGGAGGGATGCCCTAAACGGAAGATGAAATCAGAAAGTTCTTTGACAATTATGAATCTTTTCCTGGGAGCAAACATGACAAAATGGAGACAGCTGAACTTCAGGCACATTATCAGAAGTCAAGAGGCCCTGGAGAAGACAATCATGCTGAGGAAAGTCAAAGGCAGAAGAAGAGGAAGAACAAGTATGAGATGGGTCTAGACCAGTGATGGCGAACCAAGAGACCAAGTGACAAAACTGCAAACCATAACCCACTTATTTATCGCAAAGAGCCAACACTACCATAAAACCTGAAAACTGAGCTTTAAGTTTAGAAAAAACAACACACAGCCAGTCCAAGTGCATCTCTCTCTCTCTCTCTCTCTCTCTCTCTCTCTCTCCTTGGCAGCGCACTGACTCACCACACAAAAGCTCAGACGAGTTGCGGCTGATGAGTCTCAGACGTGATGGCATTGCCTGGCACCGCTACTCCTTCTCGAGCATGCGCATAGCCCCTGTGTGAGCTGCAATCTGATGTTCGGCTGCTGGGGTGACTTGTGTTGCATGCCGACAGAGAAGGATCGGTGTGCCAACTGTAATATGCGTGCCATAGTTTTGCCACCACTACCCTGACCCTACCCTGGTGCACTCCCCCAACCCTAGTATAGGGATAAAGTTCCATTGAGTAGATTTTGTTGCACAGCTCATCTTTTCTGCCCATTCTAAACACATTCCAACCATCAAAACCATGTCACAACACCTCATTTTTCTAACCCTAATCCTACCCTGGTGCATTCCCTCAACCCTAGTATAGGGCTAAAATTCCATTGAAAATAGTGTGATTCTGAAAAAGCCTTCCTTCAGTAGCTTTTTCTGCACAGCTCAACATTCCTGCCCTTACTAAACACATTCCGAACAACAAAGCCATGCCAGGACACCTCATTTTTCTAACCCCAACCCAAATTCCCAAACTGCAACCCAAAACCTACGTATTCGTCACAAAGTGCCAACACTACAATAAAACATGAAAACTGAGGTTTTAGTTTAGAAAAAACAACCCACAGCCAGTCCCAACAAATATCTCTCTCTCTCTCTCTCTCTCTCTCTCTCTCTCTCTCTCTCTCTCTCTCTCTCCTTGGCAGCGTACCGACCAGCCATGCAAAAGCTCAGACAAGTCGTGGCCAATGTGTCGTGGCCTGTGACATCATCACCTGGCTCCTCTCCTCCTTTCCAAGCATGCGCATGGCCCCTATGTGCACTGTTATCTGATTCTCAGCTGCTGAGGTGTCTTGGCTTGCGTGCCGACAGAGAGGGCTCTGTGTGCCTGCTGTGGCATGCATGCCATAGGTTCGCCACCACTGATCTAAACTATAAAGGAAGCACAACCTTGACGCAGGTTTAAATGCTACACAGTACCTTTTGGGAATGCCTGAAGAGATGCTCTAATGAGCTTCACTGAGCTCCCATGAAAAGGGGTTAAATTTCCAACATTCTCTTCCTAGTTCCCTTTGCTGTGAGTCTCATACCTAAAAGCATGAAGAAGCTCCAGTGGGGTATCTCTGGTACGAGCAATGCTGTGGTCCCTAAGCTAGCATCTCAGGATCTTCATTATGACCCAGAAAACCTTCCCAAAGTTGGAGACAGTGCTCTGACCTTGAAAGAGGTATCAGAGATCTGAACTGTCCTTTTGCATCTGGCATGGAGAGAACCACCAAGCTGTCCCCATGGCCAGCAAGCCAGCTTCTCTTCAGAGCCTCCTCGGCTTCCTCTCCGAAGCTAGACAAGCAGACCACCCACCCAGTAAAAATATAGCAGATTGGAGCATGAAAGGAAAGATCCCACCTTGCTGAGTTGTCAGCATCTGGGGCGTGTGTGGCAGACTAACTGGCAGGGTTCAGGCTCAAGGTTCAATCTAAATCATAGTCAAGCAGTACAAGGTCAGTGCCAGGAATAGGAGAGCAAGGGAGAGCCAGTCCAAGAGGCAAGCATGGTCAAGCAATCCAGGGGTCCGGAAGCTAAGGGGACAATGCCGAGGAGAGCAAGCACCTGAGGGCTGGAGCAGGAGAAGGAGTTAGCAAGCACTGGGAGGCCAGGCAGGACCAGGAGAGCCAGGGCCCGAGCCCGAGCCCAACAAACAAGCACTCCAGCCAGTTAAAGAACCTTCATTGCCAAGCCAGCTTCTGAAGAGAAGAGTAAGTTCTTACATAGCTCTTCCCCAGGACTCCCAGGTGGCGTTCATGAGAGCCCTGGCAGCTGCAGTGGATTGGGGTCATAATCCTGCAACTCTGGGCTGCTTTGCTGGTCCTTGGCCAGCAGAGGGAGCCCTGAAGCTGCCTCAGATCTTGACATTCATTCAGTCTCAGAAGGCTCCAAACTGAAGAGATTCCCCGAAGTGGGATGCAGCCTTCAGGACTGTGCCCTTAGAAGAAATGGACTTTCAAAAAATCTAGCAGTTTTCCCTTTGCGCATGACATTTCCAAAAAGGCCACTTCATGTGCGCAAAGCCCACCCTGCCATTCCTTCCTGTGGCTTTTAAAAGCCTTACATGCTGGTGAGGTCAGTGGCCCCATTTCCTTGCTGCACAGAACAGCCAGCTAGAAAGATTCCTTCAGGAGAGCACCAAATTGTCACAGCATTGGGCTGTCTTTCTCAAGGGAATGGGATGGGGCCAATTGGCTGCGGACAATGCAACTCCCTCCCTCGCTCTCTCTCACAAGCACACAAACATGCCCCTCATGGCCAAAAAACAAAATGTTTCCATGGAGCAACGTTGCCCCGAGTACTAAATGATCGCTGTGACAGCAACGGCACAGCATGCGGAGGATGGATGGGCATGGCGGGGCGGGGGGGGGGGAGATGGGACGTCAAAGTGTTAATGTGTCTAAAACGCATGTGGCTTTATAGCACGATTGCTGGCATCTTGGCTCCAAACGGCATTTCCAGCCAGAGTAGAAATCGTACACAACTTTGTGGGTTTTTTTGTTTTTGCTGTGGGAACTGAAAAGGGACTCAGCTGTCGCTCCCAGCTCTTACTTGTTTCCTTTCAAAAGTAAACAAGCAAACAATAACAGGACTTTGAATGGCCCAGAGGGGAGCCTGTCTCAACTGTAGTTAGGAGACCAAGAACAGGGTACGGGATGATGCATGCCCCAGTCCGTTCTTCTTCTGATCAAATTCTGCACATTCACATTAACTGTGGCTCACGGCAAAACTGCACATTATATAAGGCACATTCGTATTCCTCTCGGTAATGCATGCATTATTTGAAGTAGCAGCCACAGCCAGATTGGAAACGCAGTGTAGGAGGAGGCTGAGCATCACCTTTCCCCTGTAAGAAGGCCCTGACCAAAGGTCAGCGCATCTCCTGTTCTGGACATCATTCTGCAATTGGGATAACAGCCCTGCTCAGGTTTTTTCTGCAGTGAAGGGTGGAATGCAAGCTCGCCACACTCCCTGCAGCTTGGCCTACACCCTTCCACATGTGGGGGATGGTCTGTGATGCAGGAAACCAGCTTATCCCTACAGAATAAGGGCACAAAACCTGTCTCAGCCCAAAAGTAAAGGTCAGTTTTGGAATACACCAGCAAGTTGTAGCTTCAAGCTGTTATTGTCAGGAACTAACCCCAGGGAAGCTGAGGGTTGAAAAATCCTCCCAAGATCAGGGCTCTCACCATGGAAAATGAACTTCATAATGGTCAGTGGCCAAAGGAAAAGGGGTGAGACCAAGGAAGGGGGTCTTCGGCTACCCTGGGGACCCCAAAGGGCTGAACTGGGATCCCAGAAGTGACAGATTTTCCCCCACAGCCCTCAGGTTTAACACTGCTAATAGAGGAGGTGTGGGGCATAGTGAATTACTGCCATTTGCAGGTTCCCTCTGCACATTCCAGCATGAGTGTGAACATCATATGGCTCAGAAAACCTTAGAAGGACTGACCAGCAGAGGCAGAACTAGGAAGTGTAAGGGCGAATCGGTTTCATTGTTAAGATTGGATAGCCTGCTACAGGGTCTAGCAGGGGAAGTGGATTTGCTTGGTATGAATAAGGACGGTGATTCAGACGCCCTTGCCCACTGCTCTTGGAATTCCTGAGCACCACAGTCAATTGCCCATCATTTTTGAGAATCCTATTGTATGGGGCCACCACAATGTGGTGCCTCAGAACATGGATTGTCATAGGGTCTCCTCCATAGCCTCTACTGCATAATCCTAACTATGGATCTGCAGTGAGTTTTGCTTCTTGATCTGCTGCTTTTATGTCACATTCTATTTTTATTGGAAATTTTATGATTATTATAAGCTGCCCAGAGAACGGTATCTTTTGCACTGGCGTGCAAACATAAATATAGTTACCTGGATTGATTAAATATTCATAGTCATATCCTAGTTCTCTTGATGGAACGAAGAATTCCCCATTCCTGTAGAGGGGAATGAAGGGAACCATGTAATATTCCCGGTTGTGTCCAATCGGGGCATTGGCTGCAGGGTACACTTCACGTAGCGGTTGATGTCTTCTCAGCCACTGTTCAAAAATGCTGTGAAAGGGAACATTTGCGTTAGTATTGCTATAGTTCTTCACTTCCTCACTTTTCCAATGGAAAGTAGTAAGAAACAGTGCAACATGGACACTAGTAACAGCCTGTACCACAACAAACGGAATGGAAACCTTGTAAAGCAAAGTCTCCGTGAATGGTCTTCACCTAACATCTGAAAGTTAATAAAGAGCTTCTGAAAACAATGTATTCTTTTTGGTGCCAGATGATTTATTCCCTAACATTAGAAACATAGAAACAGAGTCAGTCAGAAGGGGTCTCCTGGGCCATCTAGTCTGACCTCTGGCACCAGCCGGCTCTGTTCGCGACATGCCCACCATGTGGTCGTCCAGCCTATCCTTGAACACCCTCACCGATGGGGCCTCAACCACCTCCCGTGGAAGCCCATTCCACACCCTCGGGGTCCTGACTGTCAGGAAGTGCTTCCTGGCATCCAAATTGAACCTTGGCTCCCTGAGCTTTGCTCCGTTGGAGCACGTCCTGCCTTCCTCTGCAGGGAGAATAGGTCCCCTTTTATTTCCCTCATTAACTTTATTTATATATTTCATTTTATTCTGTACTGCTGAATAAGTACAGAACTTATTTCTGTGGCAAATAACTATTACGGTTTTGTTTTTCAAAATTAATTTTGTGTGTATATGTCCTTTCAACATTTGTCTAACTTTAACTTTTGTTAACCACCCAGAAAGGCTCAGCAATTGTGCAGTATAAAAATGAAATTAAATAAACTCAAGAAATCAGCCATACCCCTTTATTTAGTGCGGCCTCCCTTTGCTGGGAGGTTCAAACAGGGAACTAGCACATGTTCCTGCAGAGATACCTGCACAGGCTACTTTTTGCCGAGAACTTTGAGTTCCCACTGGCTTGGAGGACCCTGCGCATGTGTGGCTGTGTGCGCTGTGTGGCTGTGTGCCAGGTAATGTTGGAGGAGGGAACACGGTCTCTATTTCCCTTTCCCTTCCATATTTTCAGTGTCACAGGTTATGTCTGGAAGAAGAAAATAATTCTGCTGCAACTGAGCATCACGAGGAATGAATGCATCAGAATAACCTCCTGATGGGGACAATAGGCTGAACTGATACAAGAGAGAGATGCTGTGGATACAGGGATGCACTGGGTATATGCACTGAGCTTATAGGAGACTTTAAACCAAGGGTATAGAAGCTCTTTTAGCCTAAGGGCCACACTGCATTTTGGACAATCCCTTGGAAGCTGTTTTTCAGTGCTGGGCAGAGCAGAGGGCGAAAGGGGGGAGGCCAAAAGCAAAAAGGGTGGCATCAGAAAGGAGTGCAGGGCAAATTCACCAGTTTCTTACAACAACCCTGTGGGGCAGGTTAGTCTGAAAGAAAGACTGGCTCAATCAGCTTCACGGCTTGGCAGGGATCTGAGCCTGAATCTTCTCAACCTTGGACTGCTATTCTAACCTCAGCAACTCAATCAGCTGGATCTAAACGTAGCCACATTTAGGATGCATTCACATGTAATGCTAAACCATGTGGTAGGGTCTCTTTCCTGGCTGAGTCTGTCAGAAGATTGCATGGTTTCCACCCTCCTGCTTCAACCTTCCTGGTGGCAGCACATATCCCATTACCCTCTGCAGCTGAAATTCAATCCCAGGGTATTCTATCCTTGCCTACATTAACTTCATCTTTCTGACTGGTCTTCAAATAGAGGCTGGATGGCTAGAGTGGCTCCTGCAATTGCTGCTTTTTCCACTGGACTCTATGGTATTTATTTATTTATTTATTTATTTATTTATTAAAACGTTTCTATGCCGCCCCTTGCCGAAGCCTCGGGGCAGCTCACAACATCAAATGTTGCATGGAAACTGCATTTCTGGGTTCAAATGGCTGAATAAGCCATGGTGACACACAGAAACCATACAACAGACAGTTGTTTCTCTGTAATTCCACAGAAACCAAACGTACCACACGGTAAGCTCACAACAGGGTTCCAACAACACAACAAACCAGCCTGCAGGGAAACCACCATGGCTTATTTTAATGTGTGAACACAGCCCTAGAGTGGGCTCATTGAAACCAGTGAGAGTTAAGTTAGTCAAGATTAATGTAAGCTCCATGATTTCAATTAGTCTGATATAAGTATGATCCCAAGGGGGCAATTCTATGCATGTTTAGTCATGGCTGGCTGGGACATACTGGGACTTCTGGGACATTTTTCTGTCTAAACCTATTTAGGATGGCCCCTAAATGTGCATCAAACCTTCTGTCAGCTGTGGTACAGTCATCATCGCCTTGCAATCTCTAAAGTGTCTGATGACACAGTGCCAGAATTAGAATAGTATGGTCAAGATTTTTTACGTTTAATTCACATGTCTAAGAGGCTATTAATGGCAAAACCAATTGTATTGTTGGCCTTTCATTTCAGATTCGGATGGTTTTCAGCTTTCAGAAGTTTTGGGCATTTCATTTACACCATCTCCATTCAAAATATTCCTGCGCTCTTCTGAAAGGGCAACTCAATTCCTCATGGTAACAATTACAGAAATCAAGAAGTAAATTATGCCACAGTTTCAGGGCCAGCACTTTTCAATTATGGTGAAGCATTTGCAAATCTGACTTAAAGATCTTTTGGAGGAAAGGGGCACAATTAATGTGCCTGCAGAACAAAACAAACATGTTTTATATTTCATAGATTATTAACTCAATAAAGCTGGATGCAATAACTGAAAATTATCTGTTTGGGGTTGGTGCTAAAACACAAGTGCTTCTTTTCCTTTCTCTCCTGGTGAAATATTATCATTCTGAGGCAAGGAAAGTCTCAGTGGCCTTTGGACTTTTCAGCTGTCATAGTTGAACATTTATTAGATCTTAAAGGATATTATCAGTATGAACTGACATGTTCCACACTCCCTGTGTTAATGACAGTTAAATTAACTACTGGTGTTTGTTCTCCACCAATGTTCCCAGACAGTTCTTGGCTCAATACATATTTTAAAATGCATCTTTGGAGGGAAAACATATTTAAACAAACATATGTAAAATGCATAATTATATGTGGATTTTGGTATGAATCACTTCTGTTTTTTAACCACAAATTAATGCAGAAAGGGAACAGAAATGATTGATAGATGAACACAAAATTGCAAAATTGACCCAGTCTCTATTTTCTTGTTGGCACCAGGCAAAGACATACCTTCCAAAAAAAAAAAAAAAAGTACTGAGCCATTATGGATGATGTGGTCTTTTTTATATTGCTATTGTATTGATGTTTTTAATTTTTAACTGTTTTAATAGGTTTTAATGCATTGGGGGGTTGTTTTTAATATGTTGTAAGGTGCCTAGGGAGGCCTTCTGGCAGTTATAGGTGGCCTACAAATAATATGAATGAGTGAATAAATAAATAATAGACAAATTCTCCCATTCCTGAATGAGCTCTCTTTGTTTTTGATCAGATTTACCCAGTTTGTACCTTCTGGATCAGATATGAACTTAGATGCAATATGAGGTCAAAGTCATACATTTCTAAGCTTTCAATGTAAAACAAAAAATGTGTTTGAGGACATGCAGACTTTTAAATGGACATAAAATACATACTTTTGAAAAATGCAGACAATATGCTATAATCAATGGGAGAACCTTGCACACAGACATTGGGGGAAATAGGCACTGAAATATACACAGGTAAAAAGTGGGTGGGGGGGAGGAGGAGGAGGAGGAGAAGAAGTTGCTGTATGGAGTAAGGATTTCTTTTGTGTTACATTTTTATGGAGAATTGATGGATAGATTTTGGGGGCTGCTTGTACAGGTTAAATGTGTATTGAACTCCCTTGGCAACTTTGTCTATTTCAGCTTGCTCTGTTTATTATAATTTAAACCAAAATGTGAGGGTGCTTTTGGTAAATTTAGCCCTCCTTTTTTGCCTTTGGCCCCACTCACCGTGGGAGTACCTCTGAAATTGAATTTGGTTCTTGGACTGAAAGAGATTCATCACCTCCAGCTTAATGCACTGGAGTGCAATAGGACTGGGAAAGGAGGCAGGGAAGGCAGTTCTGCTTTCCTTCCAGCACTGGATATGCAAACTTTCCATTTCTGCAATGGTTTCTTTGGTGCAAAGCAGAGACTTCTTTGTGCCCTGCATGGCAGCCCCAATCATACCAAACTTAGCTTGTAGGAACCAAATCACACTAGGAGAAGATGGAACTGGAGAGTCACCAACAGCTAGCAAAGCACGTCTATGCGTAGGGAGTTCTTCCTGGCAGATTGTGGCATTAGCCTTCAGAGGCCAGCAGGAAAATCACTGGATTTGGGCCAGTGTTTTATGTCCTACAAGGCCATCAGGAAGGTTCTGGGCTCAGCCATGCTTAGAGAAATTAAGGAGATCTAATTTTACCTTGACTCTGGTAAGTCCCATTGATTTCAGGCTTACTCTGCTGTAAGTGTAACTCCAAAGCATGGCTTCTCTTTTCTAAGCCTGATTTAAAGGGCCTCCTCTAAGCAGGACTAAATCTGGACCCAGCCTTCTGTCCTGTTCAAATGATGGTAGGCAATATAATGCTTCTCGGTGCACAAGATTAATACCCCACCCTCCAAACAAATCATTGCTGTTTGATTTCAGGACATGACAAAACAAGAGATGCTTTAAGGAAAGATGCTGCAATGGCTGAGTAACATTTGTGCATTCATCCAGAGAGGGTGCCCATCCAGAAAGGCCCGTGACGGGGGAAGGATACAATGCCAGCTAAGCAGGTACAGCTGAAGGTCTGTGGATGCAATAGAACAGTTTCATCCTGTGACAAAGAAGTAGCAACCTAAAGGCCTGGCTGGATTTGCACAAGGCAAGCAATCACATGTGACAATTGCTGTGACACAAGACAGGAACTGGCAAGAACTGCTTCTAAGTTGAATACCCCATTTTCCCTGAAGAGTGAGATTAAAGCCTGAGCAGATTATCCAGCCCTGGTGGTGGCTGGATGACCCTCCAGTTCACATGTGCAGAATCATTTCTCTCTGTTTTGGATG